ACAGTGCCAATACACCTTACTCAGTGCCAATACACCTTACGCAGTGCCAATACACCTTACACAGTGCCAATACACCTTACGCAATGCCAATACACCTTACCCAGTGCCCTTTACTCTCACGTATCTACACCTACAGCTTGCCTCATGATGCTGACGGGTGTCTGCGTCTCTCCTGCAGGCACCACTTCCCTCTGACGCCCACGCCAGATGACCGGGGCCACCCGTCGCTGGTGCTGGCCAGGTGGGCGCCGGTGGGGTCGGGGCTGGTGATGGTCGACGACCAGTACAACATCGTGTACAAGCGCGCGGCCAACACCCCCGAGGTCCACCGGATCACCGACACCGGTCGCCCCGGCCTCCTCTACAACGGCGTCCCGGACTGGGTCTATGAAGGTACCAACACTTTGGAATGTTTCTCTAAAGTGGATTCTATGTTTATTATATTCGTCATTTTAGTGAGTACGGAGGGGGGGGGACCTGCTGCATGGGTAACAGCTTCTCCTGCGTATCAGCCTACCCGGGCTTTGCGGGTAGGCTGAAAACAACATATACAGTATCTTATATAGAATCCATATACAGTATCTTATATAGAATCTTATAAGATTCAAAGGCATATTCCCAAGGAAAGACAGCGTTGTTCAAAGCTCGGAAGAGCAGAACGAGGGGTTATAGATGAACACTCAAGACCCAAGTTGGGTCACAGGGATGTCAGGAAGAACTTGTTCAGTGATAGAGCTCTCAGTAATGGAATAGATTAAACGTTAGAAGTCGTTGAAGGTAATTCGATTAAAAGTGTTAAATGTAAATTCGAATTGATTATTGAAAATCCTGTGTTTTGATGCGCTTTCCACCATTCAATTATCCTGGTAATATTTTAAATAATTAATAATCCTATAACGAATTTACTGTTTTTATATATATTACATATTTTTATCCAGCTGATAATATGAGTTCTTCGAAACTGTGAAGAGTATTATATAACTTTTAAGTATGTTTACTCTGGCTCTGGTGTTTTCCCCTGATTACGATATGTAAACACGAAGGTCTGGCTGCGTCTGCGGTGTTGAGCTTCAGCTCCTGGGCTCTGTCTTCACGGTGTCGGCTGATCTGGTGACTTCTGCCTCTTTGTTTTACTGTATTATTTATTCTTCACGCCCAACACGCTGCTCCTGCTCCACTACCTCTGATGCCCCATAACGTCATTACCCACATGACTGGCTGTAAACACTCCCTCTCTACTTGAACAGCATCAGTGGGTGGAGCTGACACAGGCAGCGTTGTGCTGATGCTGACAGATGCTGACAGTTGGGTGCTGACGTCAGGCGCTTGGCTGGACATGCCCGATATGGCTGAACGCAATTTTATGAACATTTTATACCGCAGCTGAAGAGTGGTCGATCAGTGAGCGGGGCGGGGGAAGGGGGGGGGGGGCTTTGACCGTCCTGTCAACTGCACCTCTTCCTCTTCAAGGAATTCATCCTTACTATCCTATGACAAAACAATCATGCTTAGTCCTAACTAAATTACAACTGAATGTTATCAATATATTAATATTTTAGGTGGTCAACTAATTTTGAGAAATATTTTAATAAGATACTGGAATATCGACGCGACTGTTAGACAGAATGGAACTGTCAGTTGTGTCCTGGACTGGTTGAGTGTTGCCAGGGCTGTCAGCTGGTTGTTGAGGGAGGAGTGTGCTTCATATGTAGTGCTTTGGCTATGTATAGTCTCTCGTTGCTGTGTGTCTCTCGAGTGTTTCCTTGTCGTTAGTCACAACTACCAAATCACACCACATTTGCTGGCCAAACAGGCCAATGAGAATGCAGAACAAGACAGTCCAGTTCCATAGACCAGGTATGACTTCACCTTGAAACAATCCAGTGCTTCCAAGTCTTATTACGTTACCCCGGTAATTTATTTCATAAATCTACCCAATTTTTAAACCAGTATCTACTCAGGTCCTCTCTAACAGTAAACTTTAACCAATTTGTATAAATTCCATTTGTTTCGTGTTGTGTCTCACGTCACACAAGTAGATCAAGTTCAAGTTCGTTTATTGAGATAAGAAAGAAATACATCTCAAAGGGATAGAGTAGCTTAGGATATTTCTATTCCTCCCACACGGGTAGAGTCTTCTGGCGAACGTCAAATTAAAATAAATCGATGTTTTCCAGAGGAGATCCTTGGGAGCAACAGCGCCGTGTGGTTCTCCCAAGACGGCAACATGCTGGCCTACGCCTCCATCAACGACACCCTGGTTGACACCGTGCCCATCCCTCAGTACGGCTCCTACCAGCAGTACTCGCTCATACGGAGAGAGAGAGAGAGAGAGAGAGAGAGAGGAGAGAGAGAGAGGAGAGAGAGAGAGAGAGAGAGAGAGAGAGAGAGGAGAGAGAGAGAGAGAGAGAGAGAGAGGAGAGAGAGAGAGGAGAGAGAGAGAGAGGAGAGAGAGAGAGGAGAGAGAGAGAGAGAGAGAGAGAGAGAGAGAGAGAGAGGAGAGAGAGAGAGAGAGAGAGAGAGAGAGAGAGAGAGAGAGAGAGAGAGAGAGAGAGAGAGAGAGAGAGAGAGAGAGAGAGAGAGAGAGAGAGAGAGAGAGAGAGAGAGAGAGAGAGAGAGAGAGAGAGAGAGAGAGAGAGAGAGAGAGAGAGAGAGAGAGAGAGAGAGAGAGAGAGAGAGAGAGAGAGAGAGAGAGAGAGAGAGAGGAGAGGAGAGAGGAGAGAGAGAGAGAGAGAGAGAGAGAGAGAGAGAGAGAGAGAGAGAGAGAGAGAGAGAGAGAGAGAGAGAGAGAGAGAGAGAGAGAGAGAGAGAGAGAGAGAGAGAGAGAGGAGAGAGAGAGAGGAGAGAGAGAGAGAGAGAGAGAGAGAGAGAGAGAGAGAGAGAGAGAGAGAGAGAGAGAGAGAGAGAGAGAGAGAGAGAGAGAGAGAGAGAGAGAGAGAGAGAGAGAGAGAGAGAGGAGAGAGAGAGAGAGAGAGAGAGAGAGTGAGAGAGAGAGAGAGAGAGAGGAGGAGGAGAGAGAGAGAGAGAGAGAGAGAGAGAGAGAGAGAGAGAGAGAGAGAGAGAGAGAGGTGGAGAGAGAGAGAGAGAGAGAGAGAGAGAGAGAGAGAGAGAGAGACTCATGGTAAGTGTACATACCCAAACACCATTGCACAAGTGTTGCCAATATACCAAGAGCATCCCTCCTCTCAGACTCCTTAAGTCGTTCGTCACAATATTCAGACGCCAGTATTTGAGCTCAAGGCTCTCAAAATTTAAATACAAATTTATTTAAATTTTTGGGGGATACTCTGAAAATTTGCCAATTATTATTTGTATAATTTTATTTATGTTCGTAAATATATATTTAGTGTTAGTGCTGGGTTTAAGTTCTATCAACCTCTAGAGGGTTATTAAGGCCAGCATGATAGGTGATTGACCTGCCAGGAAGTATTCTTTACCACAGAACATTGTTCAGGACTAATGTAAACTCTGTATATATATACTGAAAGGCGGGGGTGTATATATATATATATATATATCTCTGTATATACCCCTATCGACTGCGCTACGCTATTTGGTGCCAGTGAACATTAATTTAAAAATTAATTTTTTTCAGAACACTTTATTGCATTCTAAAAATAGTGGATGAAGATCTGAAGAATATGATTGTATATCTAATTTTTGCTTGTTTTTGGAATTGCAGCCTGGCCAAGAGAACCCGAAGGTCACCCTGTGGGTAGTTGACCTGAGGGCGATCAAGCTACGCGACCTCAAGCCCCCGAACTTGGTCAAAGACCAGTTAGTGCACTCCGCAGTGTGGTTTGTGTGGGAGGATAACGACGTTCTTATCGTTTGTTGTCTCACTTAAGTGTAGTTTTTTTGGCCTTGGTGGCACCAACACCACCACCCCGCACCCACCAGGCCGCCCGCGGGGACCCTCAGTCCACGGCCACACAGCCAAAAGTACTTTTGAATTCTTGACCAGTGGACCGCCCTCAAAATTGTTACTTCAGTAACCCCCCTCCCCTTTCACCGCCAGTTCTGATCTAGTCGACCGGTCACTCTTGTAAACTAGACTTTGCGGCAATTATCTGGTGTGAATTAATGCTTTATAAGCTAATTAGAGCTTTTTCTTTTATATTTTAGAGCCGCGTTAATGTCCACATACCGCAGCATTGTAAATGAGGTAATGTAAAATGATATTAGAGTAAAACAAACATTGATGAGGACGTTGTTGCTCCTTTACTACAGTATTCTTCACCTTAACATCTAAACTACTTACTCCTCTTGTAAGTGGCTTCACCCTCACTAGTTCCGGTAGTTATATGTTCACAGTAGGCTAGTGATGAGCCTCACTAGTAGACATAATTCTTCTCTGCAGCTTTTGGTGTGACGTTACCCCCCTGTAACATAGTCTCCCATTATTTCAAAATATATCCGTTTTCTGTCACGTGTCTTAGAGATGACTTCTTTGATTTTTCACTGTTTCAGCACTGCAAATAGTTGATATTTTAAGATATTTGCAGCGAGCGGTGTTATAGATCTATCTTCCCCCCCCCTGTGTTTTGATCATACCATGCATGGTTTTCATGGCACTAGAAACCATATTAGTCGCGTGCCAGAGCCGCTCAAGGTGTCCTCGGCGGAGGACGGAACGGACGCCATATTGGATGTCGACGGTTCCTTCCAGCTGACAATCAATCATTGCCATCCATTTTGCCCGCATAAGTTAGTAACATCACAAAGCTTGGTTGTAGATGCGCGAGATACATATATATATATAATTATATTTTTCTTTAGACTGAAGCGTAGTAACGCCTTCTTTCTATAGATACCCCTAAGGGTTAAGTAGGCCCATATAATAATAGTTACGAGCAGGAGCGGTGGCATCAACCATTACATGGTCGGGTGGTTCCTCCTCCTTCCCTATGTCCAGTTGGTGACACTCAGGAGTATTGACAACTATACTTTTCCTTTAATTTAGTTTGCTATTTATCATTGAGATCCATTGTAAAGTAAGCTGTACATATGATTTGATACGTTCCTTTAGCTTAATATGATTCTAGATGCATATGATGACTTTATAATAGTTGCATATTTTGTTTTTTAATAGTTCAACCCCCCCCCCCAACCCTCCCCCCTCCTCGCCCTACAGCGACCCCACTTGTATAAGATCTTGTATAATAAATGTCCTTGGAAACCCATCTTAACTTTAAAACATTTTTCATGTATTGCTTACGTTTGTGCTAGTGATATTGTTGTGTAATGCCCATCCCGTCTAAGATGCCGTGTCTGCTTTATCTCATTCCCTCCAATCTTATTTCCCCATTTTCATATCTTTTTCTTCATGTATATATATATATATGGATTGCTTCATGTCTCATTGAATATGACAGCATATTTCATATTTACTATTTTCTGGTTTAGGGCTTCTATCCCTCTTACTAGTGCTCTTGCATCAGGGTTCAGCTGGAAGAGGAGTTCACCAAAAGTCATGTTCGTTTTCAGGGTGAAGAAAAATAATTGAATAACTGAAGGATGGATTACACTGATTATAAAATCGCACGACGTTTCGAACCAACATGGTTCATTCTCAAGTGATGTTACAGTACAGAACGTTATATTTTATACTAATAGCGGGTCAGGTTAATACAAATGGCTCGAACAATGGGGTCAGGTGTAAACAAAGGGTATACATTGGGAAGACATGAAGGAGAAAAGAAGCTAATGATCAGAAGGTTAAATAGGGTACATACAGAGATTAATCAAGCGTAGTGGGCGCTGCTTGTCGGGCAGTGTCTTCTGTGTTGGCATCTTGACGTTCTAGGGCCAGATTCACGAAAGCACTTACGCAAGTACTTACGAACCTGTACATCTTTTCTCAATCTTTGGCGACTTTGTTTCCAATTATTAAACTGTTAATGAGCGCCGAAGCCACAGGAGGCTGTTTATAACAATAACAACAGTTGAATGGGAAGTTTTCATGCTTGTAAACTGTTTAATAAATGTAACCAAAGCCGTCAAAAATTGAGGAAAGATGTACACGTTCGTAAGTGTTTGCGTAAGTGCTTTCGTGAATCTGGCCCCTGGTCTTGTTCTTACTCTCATGGTGGGTAGAGTGAATAGTTGCGTAATATGAGTATTTATGATAGGTTGTTTTACTTTTATGTGGATTGCTTCAAGAATCTGTATTCTTCTTACATCTTGGGTTTTGTCTATTATACAAGTGTAGAGGCAACTGGTTTAGCGTTCTCGCCTGATTATTAACTTCTTGCATGAGCTTTTAAAGTCTTCCACGAGACTGCCGTAGTGAAGACAAGCATCTTGGATACGTTCTCAAGCATTTAAGAGTCTTGAGAGGAAACTTTTCTCTGGGATGTTTGTCTTTGAGAATATTTCTGTCTGCTTAACGCAGTTGTCAGATGATTGTTCCACTCTCTTGTTTATCAGCTTTTTATCCACATCTGCTTTGGGTGGGTGTTTGACACCTGTCACAGCTGACTACGAGAACATAACACCTGTCACAACTGACTACGTGAACATAACACCTGTCACAGCTGACTGACTACAAGAGCATAACACCTGTCACAGCTGACTACAAGAACATAACACCTGTCACAGCTGACTACAAGAACATATCACCTGTCACAGCTGACTACAAGAACATAACACCTGTCACAGCTGACTACAAGAACATAACACCTGTCACAGCTGACTACAAGAACATATCACCTGTCACAGCTGACTACAAGAACATAACACCTGTCACAGCTGACTACAAGAACATAACACCTGTCACAGCTGACTACAAGAACATAACACCTGTCACAGCTGACTACAAGAGCATAACACCTGTCACAGCTGTCTACAAGAGAATAACACCTATAACACATAACACCACATAACAACATGACAAGTGTGACAAGCTGAGGGGGAAGCTTGTGAGTTAATATCACCAAAGAAGATTTCATCTGAGATTTAACAGAGATGAAGACGTGATTAAACTCATTGGCCATAATCTTACTGAAGCGAACATACGAGTCATAAATACTCATACACAGCCAGAAACGAGTATGCCACTTAAGTGGGCCAGCCAGAGGTTTAGGGCCTTCGGAAAGAAAATTACCTAAAGCAGTGTTTTGTTCAGCTCCAAACGTAGACACACGAAGCCACTTGACAAATTGCCTGAACGCTTCCGTTTTCTTGAACGCCAAACACCTCCGGCAGTTTGTTTGATTTCTTTCATTTATATCTTTCACGATTTGTGATTTTTTTTGTGTGTGTGTGATTTTTAAATGCTTGTATCTAAAGTGCTTCGTTAAATGCCTTGTCTGTTTTTTTCCCCTGCTATTAAATATTTAGTTGTTCTTTCTGGTATTCTTGATATGACAAGAGATATTATGCCCCTTTGTAACTTTATAATACTTGATTGATGTGTAGCCATGCAGGCTGTGATTGATGTGTAGCCATGCAGGCTGTGATTGATGTGTAGCCATGCAGGCTGTGATTGATGTGTAGCCATGCAGGCTGTGATTGATGTGTAGCCATGCAGGCTGTGATTGATGTGTAGCCATGCAGGCTGTGGGTTTCCTGTATATTTGTGTGTATATGCACGGGCTTGCATTACGTTCATGAGAATACAGCTATTCCAGTTATGTATGTCTGTTGAGAGAGAGACTAGTTATCATGAGAAAACACTAAGTCAGTATGATTATATAGCATTTGGAAGGGGTATGAGGACAGGGACCTGGGATATGAGGACAGGGAGCTGAGATATGAGGACAAGGAGCTGGGATATGAGGACAGGGAGCTGGGATATGAGGACAGGGAGCTGGGATATGAGGACAGGGATCTGGGCTATGAGGACGGAGCTGAGATATGAGGACAGGGAGCTGGGATATGAGGACAAGGATCTAGGCTATGAGGACAAGGATCTAGGCTATGAGGACAAGGAGCTGGGACATGAGGACAGGGAGCTGGGATATGAGGACAAGGATCTGGGCTATGTGGACTGAGTGAAGGAGCAAGAGCACCTGGAACATCATGGATCAAGAGAGAGAGAGAGAGAGAGAGAGAGAGAGAGAGAGAGAGAGAGAGAGAGAGAGAGAGAGAGAGAGAGAGAGAGAGAGAGAGAGAGAGAGAGAGCTGGTGCATGAAGACAAGGCCCCCATCAAGACAAGGTAGCTGAGATAATAAAAGAGTGTTGACGGCTCCACAGGGATCACTACTTCACTGCTGTGACGTGGGTGGACGCTACCACCGTCAGCGTGGTGTGGATGAACCGCGCCCAGAACACCTCCGTCGTCACCCTCTGCGCCCACCCCATGTACTTCTGCGAGGCGGTCAGTACCATTTTTAATGCCGTTTCCCCTGTTATTTTTCCCGCCAGAAAAGCCTCATCTACCAAACAGAAAACGGGCTCTTTAGAACTTGTCCTCACTTTCCTTGGAATGCATTTTTTGAGTGTAAATATCTACCATTGTTTACTTTCGTAGTCTGACTACTGTCTACCATGACTACTGACTACCATGACTACTGTCGTAGTTATGATATGCTGTAGATCCTTTCCATTTTTTGGTCCTCTGCATTCAGTTTGTTCTTCATTCCTAATTTCATTCGATTTATGAAAACTGGGCAGGACAGAAGCGGTTGGGCACATTTCCTCTCACCGGTCAGAGGGAGATATACACACAACTGTTACGAATTGCATCCTTGAGAATGTCAGTTAGTCTCGGAGCACCTTGATAAGCCTGGATAGAGGCATGGAAAGATAGATGGATAGATAGATGTATTAATAGATGGATAGTCAGATAGATTGAGAAATGGGAGATAGACCCCGGCAGAGCTAGTTCATAGTATACTATAAAAGGAGAACTATTCTGAGGAATTATTTCCCCATCAGAGGAATCAGATCCTTTCCTGACATCTTTCATGAATATATATATATATATATATATATATATATATATATATATATATATATATATAATATATATTATATATATATATATAGTAGCCAGAACGCACTTCTAGCCTACTATGCAAGGCCCGATTTGCCTAATAAGCCAAGTTTCATGAACTAATTGTTTTTCGATACCTATATAACCTAACCTAACCTAACTTTTTTCGGATACCTAACCTAACCTAACCTATAAAGATAGGTTAGGTTAGGTTAGGTAGGGTTGGTTAGGTTCGGTCATATATCTACGTTAATTTTAACTCAATAAACAAAAATTGACCTCATACATAATGAAATGGGTAGCTTTATCATTTCATAGAAGAAAAAAATTAGAGAAAATATATTAATTCATGAAAAACTGGCTTATTAGGCAAATCGGGCCTTGCATATTAGGCTGAGAAGTGCGTTCTGGCTACTAGGTACGACATATATATATATATATATATATATATATATATATATATATATATATATATATATATATATATATATATATGGGAAAACTACCAAAACTATTTTAATCAAACTCAATTTATTAATTTAAAATGATTAATTTGATTTAATTAGTATTTTAATCTATTAAAACTATTTTAATCAAATACTTTGAACAATACGATGGTAGTAGTTTTTTGTTTTGGGCGTCTTGCAGTAATTACTTTTATGTATCATTATGTATTATTATGTACTATTATGTATCATGTTACAGAAAATTTGTTAGGGCGAACAGAACACAAACAAATCGTGACTGGAACATTATGAAGGGAGCCTAGGTGAAAATAAATGGCGGGTTATGACATCATCATAATACATAATGAAACAATCTAGAGGTTGAAGATTTAACAGTTTTTTTTTTTATTTTAGAAGTGGGTTTTGTTCGTTATATCCCTGTGTTGGAAACTCCACTACTCTTGACCAGACCACACACTAGAAGGTGAAGGGACGACGACGTTTCGGTCCGTTCTGGATCATTCTCAAGTCGATTGTCAATCGACTTCAATCGACTTGAGAATGGTCCAGGATGGACCGAAACGTCGTCGTCCCTTCACCTTCTAGTGTGTGGTCTGGTCAACATACTTTAGCCACGTCATTGTGACTCATCGCCTCCACTGCTCTTCATATATCAAATGGCCTGAATTCAATATTGTTTTTATATATCTAAATTGTTTTCAATTATATGATAATAATTTCTGACTAGGCTCTTAAAAGTGTTTAATTCAAAACTTGGCAGTAATTCTTGCACAAATGGTCCATTTCCTCTTCGTTGGTGTTTACACTTCATGTTGATAACTATCCCATAGTTAGATTCATAACACCAACCATTACTAACCAACCACACGTTGCTCGAAAAAAAAACAGAAAAATCCCTTTAATGTTACACAGCATTTCTTAAAAAATGGGGGTTAATAATGGGGGTTTTTTCCCTTGACTGAATGTCATCTCTGCCACAGACACACACGGAACAGTCTGGTGACCACGGCTGGGTGGAGCTCTACGAGGCGCCCATCTTCTCCGAAGACGGACAGAACTACCTACTGCGTCTTCCCGTGCGTGACGGCGAAGAAGGCGAGTTTAAGCACGTCAACCTGTACAGTCTGCGCATGCGTCGGGTCATACCCATCACCCACGGGGCCTTTGAGGTCACCGAGATCCTTGGCTGGGACCAGAACAACAATTACATGTAAGTGGTTAATGGTGTGTTCGGAGTGGGTGATTGTTAGTTATCGCATTGGGACAGGGAGGGGGGAGTGAACGTTTTCGAGTTTTGGTTATCGTTATTACGAGGTTATCGAGGTTATCGAGGTGTCCGTAATATTAGTATATGATGGGTGTTGGGGCGGGTGATGAGTAAGGTATATATGTGATGCTTTTGTAACGAGTAAACACTATGTGATGAGTAAAGTATATGTGATGTTTTCACGTGTACTTTACTTATTATTTGTGATCATTATTTTGCCTCTCGTTAATCATCGTCATGTCAGAATATTACGTTTCATATGCATGCAAATTTGGAAGCCTGTTCATGATTTTTTGTTTAGTGTAAATTGAGAAAGATTAATAGTCTCTCTTGGTGAGACAACGGCATTAATAATAGTCTTGTTGATCATAGGAATAACGTTTTATCTTCTTTTTTCTAATTCACAATTACCCCATTTCCCCCCAGCAGGTGACTTTTAATAAGCGGTCACATCAAGGTCAATTAATTTCAATTAGCCAATCTTTTTTTTCTCGGAGTTAAGCCTCCTTCGCTACACCGTTTTCTTTGTCGGACATCACCTGTTCATTGTCTCCTCAATGTTGTGTTATGTTGGTGTGTGTGCGTGTGTTATGTTGAGGTATGTGGGTAAGTCATGTTGCGGTATGTGGGTAGTTCTTGTATGTCGAAAATCTAAAGTTTTACAAGTATGGTGTTGAGATACTTTACAAGTATCTTTGACGAAAAAAATTATCCTAGGCTGATTCACTCTCTCTCTCTCTCTCTCTCTCTCTCTCTCTCTCTCTCTCTCTCTCTCTCTCTCTCTCTCTCTCTCTCTCTCTCTCTCTCTCTCTCTCTCTCTCTCTCTCTCTCTCTCTCTCTTCTCTCTCTCTCTCTTTCTCTCTCTCTCTTTCTCTCTCTCTTTCTCTCTCTCTTTCTCTCTCTCTTTCTCTCTCTCTTTCTCTCTCTCTCTCTCTCTCTCTCTCTCTCTCTCTCTCTCTCTCTCTCTCTCTCTCTCTCTCTCTCTCTCTCTCTCTCTCTCTCTCTCTCTCTCTCTCTCTCTCTCTCTCTCTCTCTCTCTCTCTCTCTCTCTCTCTCTCTCTCTCTCTCTCTCTCTCTCTCTCTCTCTCTCTCTCTCTCGCTCTCTCTCTCTCTCTCTCTCTCTCTCTCTCTCTCTCTCTCTCTCTCTCTCTCTCTCTCTCTCTCTCTCTCTCTCTCTCTCTCTCTCTCTCTCTCTCTCTCTCTCTCTCTCTCTCTCTCTCTCTCTCTCTCTCTCTCTCTCTCTCTCTCTCTCTCTCTCTCTCTCTCTCTCTCTCTCTCTCTCTCTCTCTCTCTCTCTCTCTCTCTCTCTCTCTCTCTCTCTCTCTCTCTCTCTCTCTCTCTCTCTCTCTCTCTCTCTCTCTCTCTCTCTGCCTCCCCAGTTACTACATGGCAACCATGGAAGACAAGCCAGGAGAGCGCCATCTGTTCCGTGTCGCTGACGTCTCGTCGCCAATGCTTCGAATCCCCGAGTGCTTGTCATGTCTGGAGGCGGACAACACGACGGACGCCTGCCTCTACAACAAGGCCCACCTCTCCCCGGACTACGCCTTCTTTGTCCTCGAGTGCCTTGGCCCAGAGGTGCCCAGAACCTACCTCTTCTCCACATGGAACAGTCAGGTATTTGAAGCTTTCTTGCGCATTGGGAGTCAGGTATTTGAAGCATTCTTGCGTATTGGAAGTCAGGTATCTCAAGCTTTCTTGAGCATTGGAAGTCAGGTATCTCAAGGTTTCTTACGCGTTGGGACAGTCAGGTATTTGAAGCATTCTTGCGCATTGGAAGTCAGGTTTTTCAAGGTTTCTTGCGCATTGGAACAGTCAGGTATCTCAAGCTTTCTTACGCATTTAAGAGGTCTGTGTGCCGGGGTGTTTAAGGGCTGAAACTCATTTCAAGATGCGAAGAGCTTCAGAATGATTGATTATATTTCATGAAACACTGTTTATGTTTGACAATAGTTAACTACATTATCGTAATAAAGCCTATATGGGATAGTGTATAGCATACGTAGTAGCATATGTCATGCTAGTGTATAGCAGGGTATAACAGTCTGTGTATAGTATAGTGAAGCCCGCAGTTGAGAGTTACTTGTCATTGTGTCACTGTAGGTAGTTTCCATTTGCTGTTGACAAGTTACGTTTCCAGGCGGCATTCATAAGAATAGTTCAAATATTCTTTCTGCATTCTTAGAAATACTTCGCATTACTTCAACTTTCATTACTTCGGTAAGTAAAGGAAGTCGCGGTTGCGTCAATAATCTCTTTAACAATATCACTTGCAGGAATGTCATTCTCTAATGATTGTATAATGTTTGTATCAGAAATAAACGGCGTATTGTCTGGGCACTGAAAGCTGTATGACCCGCAGCAAATATTTTAGTCCCAGTATGGTCGGGAAGCGACGGTCGGGGACCGGGCCGTGGAGACTTTGAAATCACCCCGAAATCATCGCAAGGTCGCAACCATAAAGGCAAACTCGCAAACAACGCCACGCAAACTCCCTCCCCAAAATGCGACATATTAGTACATATATAATCACCATAATATTGACGCTTTCTTTCCATCATTCTCAATATATCAGTTGGGTTGGCACACATCTGGTTAGACGTAACAATTGTTTTTTAACGTTTTAGATTAGACAAAACAGTTGCAATTTTGAACGGAGTGAAAAACCGAGAGAACAAGTTGCTTGCCTCCTCATACTCATCATGACATATTTCTGGTTTCATAGTGACACTCCTCCCTTAAAGCAACTCCTAACTGTCGAAATATGTCATTTTCCGTATGTGGGAAATATTTACCCCCCCCCCCCTATCAACAGTATTTTGTTTTAGTCATCCGAGAAACCCAGGCCGCTGTGTCCTCGCTGGGAGCGGCCCGTAGTAATGGAAAAGGTGACATAGAGGGTCCCCCTATATCGCTGACATGGGTGACAGATGGATGATTGATGTTGAGGGTCGCGAGGCAGAGGCTCCTGGACGCAGGTTCGAATCCTCGTCACGGCCCTTGTGGATTTGTTCATAGTCACCTGTGTTTAGTACTGTGTGTGTGTGTGGAGGGGGGAAGCCTTCACAGGAGGACCAAGGATCAGTCCACAGTGATCAGTCTGTCTGGATGTTTGATGATGCGGTGTTAGGGAATTGAGTGATGGCTTCTCATCGCTGTATTGAGTGATGGTTTGATCCTGGTAATGTTATGTACTGAGAGATGGCTTGTTTTGAAACGAGTCATTTCTAAATACATAGATTGATAAAAATTCGTTAATCAGCTAATCAATATGTTTCCTGTCTGTGTTCTAAGTTTGGTCCAGGTTAGTTCCTGTATAATATGTAGTGCATCAGTAATATATACAATTAAAGCCATTTTATTTCTAAATTGTGTATGTGTAAAGTAAGTGAGTCATTCCACGAATGAATCACGCAGTCAGTTAATAAGGAAGCTTATGAACAGGTTCACAAGGGCCGTGATGAGGGTTCGAACCTACGAACCCAGACGCGCCTTAGTCGACTGCGCCATGACATGGTCAAATGAATTGCAACCGGGAGTGCTACTGCCCTCACACGGATCCCCACAGCCTCGCGGATCCAAGCCTTGTGGCTTTGTTCATTTGATGCATTACGCTATTGTGATTTATGTGTGTATGGAAGCTTAGTTGAACTAAAAACTAATTCACTAAACACATTCAAATCCAGTTTTGAAAACACCTTAACACACAATGCAGCGGATCATATTAACAAAATATTGAACATCGCGTAAATAATATTAACTTTGAAATATCTCAATTCATTACGTAATCGACAAAGCACGCTAACTGAGGCTCAGATATCGTTTAACGCTAACCAACTTAAAAATCACGAGTACATTAAAATATAGCTCCAAAGTACCGTACTTGGCAAGTACCGTACTTAATGTTCATTAGAGAACTCAGGTCAACTCAAATAATATAACAGATTTAGGTAGCCTCTTACCAATGCAATATATTTATTAATGAAATGATCAAGTTTGTCATTCTAATAGGAAAAGTCACTCGTTCAGTTCACCCTCTCAATCTGAAGAACAGACTGGGCAGTGGTGTGTGTAGCGATCACCAGCTGGTCAGTACTGTGTTAAGATTACAGTGTGGTCAGTACTGTGTTAAGATTACAGTGTGGTCAGTACTGTGTTAAGATTACAGTGTGGTCAGTACTGTGTTAAGATTACAGTGTGGTCAGTACTGTGTTAATATTACAGTGTGGTCAGTACTGTGTTAAGATTACAGTTTGGTCAGTACTGTGTTAAGACTACAGTGTGGACAGTGCTGTGTTACGGTTACAGTGTGGTCAGTACTGTGTTAAGATTACAGTGTGGTCAGTACTGTGTTAATATTACAGTGTGGTCAGTACTGTGTTAAGATTACAGTGTGGTCAGTACTGTGTTAAGATTACAGTGTGGTCAGTACTGTGTTACGGTTACAGTGTGGTCAGTACTGTGTTAAGATTACAGTGTGGTCAGTACTGTGTTAAGATTACAGTGTGGTCAGTACTGTGTTACGGTTACAGGCTGGTCACAAACCTGGGACAAATAGAAGCCGGCGATCAGCAGCTGTGAACGTGGGCCCGCGGGTAAGAGAAGACCAGCCCGCCTGACCTCCTCCTCCTCCTGGGTCTTCCCAGTCTACTTACTAATTTGTTGACCAGACCACTCACTAGAAAGTGAAGGGACGATGACGTTCCGGTCCGTCCTGGACCATTCTCAAGTCCACACACTAGAAATTGAAGGGACGACGACGTTTCGGTCCGTCCTGGACCATTCTCAAGGTCCAGGACGGACCGAAACGTCGTGGTCCCTTGACTTTCTAGTGTGTGGTCTGGTCAACATACTTCAGCCACGTTATTGTGACTCATCGCCTGTACTTACTAATTATTACTGGTGGCTGTGCCTGGCTCCTTATACTTATCTTATAGCGGACTGAGACGGATACAGCGTCTTGCATGACTAATATCACTTTGTAAACCTTACAGTCAAACTTCAGCTGCATGACTCTTGCTTACAGGTGTTCCTTACATTACTAAATTATATATAAGATTACGAGCCAACATTTGTTAACTTTAATATGGATTTTAAAAGAGGCTCGATATGGGGCTTTAATATCGTCAAGTAGATCGCTGTTTTTTTTGTAAGATTGTGTATTGTGGTTTAAGTAGTTGAAGGCATTGAGGTTTGACTGCAGGAACAGCATGGTACTGCTTTGTACCTCACTTTACTAAAGCAGATTTATTAAATAATTTAATTTTACATTTTTTCTTCTGCAGTCACAGCACACGAAATAGGATTCCAGAGATAATAGAACAATTTGTGCATCTATTCTTTAATCCAAGAGGTTAAAGTATTATTCGACTTACAGACTGTATACACAGTAAAGAAGTTTACAGAATAGGCCTTCAAATTTGTGTTGTGGTGTGAGAAATAAAGGAGATGCGCCTTCCGTGGATTTACTTGTATAAATATGATAATTATTTTGTAGTACCTTAACACACACACACACACACATTGTAAACTCCCCAGTTATGGTCTTTATTCGCTATGGTCTGCCTTCTGATTACCTAAGTTGCTGAGATGACCAGTCATTTGACCAGTTGCTTAGACAGCCACCTTCTCCAAGTTCCTGAGGCATCCTCGACCTTTCCCAAGTTTCTGAGACATCCTCGACCAATCCCCAAATTCCTCGCTCAGTCTCATCTTTCTCATTCGTTCGACATTTTTCATAGCAAGCCAAGAATACGCCTGGATCTTATCATTAATAGCCCTGGATCTTAACTGGATCTTAGGTCTGGATCTTGGATCTTAACTACATAGGCCTGGATCTTAACTACATAGGCCTGGATCTTAACTACATAGGCCTGGATCTTAACTACATAGGCCTGGATCTTAACTACATAGACTTGGATCTTAACTACATAGACTCTGGTTGCCCTTGTTCGATCCCCGTCGTGGCAACCCGACGGCTCGCGCACACACCGTAACTACTGCGTTTTGAAATTACATATATACGTTAATAACGCACAAAAATATATAAGGTTGTCGCTACTTTGTATGTTTGTTGGGAAGGAACTTCTCAAGTAGTCTTGGCACATACTCAAGGAAGAGAGACGAGAATGTGTCACAGGTCACAAGCGAGGGGACCAGCTTCCGGGGATACATAATAGAAGGCAATGCCCTCCACACCTTGCAAGCCGTAATTCTCAATGAGAGGAATTCAATTTATCGTTCTGATAACGATTACTGGATCGTGGACCCTCTTCGTCCTCAGCTCACCTTCTTTGTTGTCAGCTCAAAGTCCTTGGCTCATTCCCTCTGTTCTCTTACTAGGCTCTACTCATGGCGTTTCTATTACTGGTTTTCCGATACACCTTTCAAAAGTGTAAAATCAAAGAGTTCAAATAACCAATACAAATTCTACACAAATAATAAATGAAAATGTGTTGTATCTCGCGTGGACTACACTTAACACAGGCGCGTACACACACACACACACACACACACACACACACACACACACACACACACACACACACACACACACACACACACACACACACACAAACACGTAAACACATCTATGTATGCAATTAAGGTAAGAACATATACACTGAAAACGGGGAAAAAATGATAATTACAGCATCTATATTTAGCAATTCAATATTGCATGTATTGTAAAAAAAATCAAAATAAATCTGCAATGAAATTTTTACTATGCACACACACACACACACACATATATATATATATATATATATATATATATATATATATATATATATATATATATATATATATATATATATATATATATATATATATATATATATATATATATATATATAAGAAATCTTGTAAAGGTATGTTGCACATTCTTTTATATGACAGACGCAAGAGAGCCACTGGTGTTTGTGAGTGGCACTTGTGTAGCTTGGCACTGAACCCTCCATGGTCACTGCCAGAATGCCAGACTCAGCGACTATTCTGGCATTTGATTTTTGTTATAAGTGGGTACATGACCAGATGATTTTTGACTCCTGTAACCAGGCTGAGAGCTTCCCCTTCCCATAGCTCATGGTAAATCTTATTAGTTTTTCCTGGAACACGACCCACCAATCAGTTAACAACCAGGTACCCAATTACTGCTGACTGAACAGAGGCGAACAGTTACAGATTAGAGTTCAGACAATCCTCCCTGGCCAACTCGAACCCAGACTCATATTGCTCTCGAGGCGCTGGGCCACCAGCGACTTCTTTATCGAATCTTGCCTTAAAGTTGTGGTAGGAATCCTTGAATAAGAGACGTGGGAAGTTAACTGTAGAGTCAGTTTCAATCCTCCACCAGGAGAGACATTGCACATGGCTCAACACCTCTTGTGACCAATGTTTGCTAACTCTGAACTGTCTGACAAAGGATCCTATGTTTTTGTTAATCTATTTGCAAAGGATTTCGGTTTATTCCTTATACCCTGATAAAATATAAGGTTGCTTGTTCCCGAAGTTGCTGAGATCCTGGCACTCTGGCAGTGACTTTGGAGGGTTAAGTGCCAAGCCTTAGAGGGGGACCACTCAGGTGCCACTCAAAGTGGCCAGTTTCATTCCGCTGAACGCTCTATTTTCTTAGTTTTCAAAGACTTGCGTGTATTATCACATGTGCCATTTGGCACTCGCACTTAGATCACAGTACGTCTTTCATCTATAGCCACTAAGCAAAAGTTTGAATAAATAAATAAAAATTGCACTGATGATGTTTGGACTACATCAGCTGCCTTGGCAAGTTATATTACCGTATAATATATTTCAAGTATGAATGATTGATGCCCTTATTTCTGATTAACATTTAATAATTATTTATGTGCATTTTACGCCTTTCTGAAGCTTTAAATTTCGTCTTCACTCGCCTAGTCAGTTCTTCATGAAATTGTTCATCCAGGTTTTTTCAATATTTCTTTATGGGTTACATTGAAAAATATATATTTTTACATATAAAGCACAGTCATTAGGAACATTAATTCGCAGTAAGAGATGGAACATCTCACTGAAAAAGTTGAATATCACCCATTTTCAGTTAATACCCTCCGCGTACCCTCTACCTTCCAAAATGTTTATTATACGTTGGCAAGCCACAGCTGGTGATTGGGTCGGGTGCCCCACAGATGATCTACGTTTGGATGACTATAGTGAGCTGCGAGAGAGAGTGGAGGAGATGGCCATGCCTCAGGTGCAGACCTTCCGTGTGGAGCTGGAGGAGGAGGTCCCTTACACCTACCACGTCCAGCTCTTCCTTCCCCCTGGGCTAAGGGAGGACGAAATCACAACCTATCCCATGGTTGTTCAAACGTAAGTACTGATCAGGTGATCATTCTTCACCTCATGGTTGTACAAACTGAAGTAAACAGGTGATAACTGTTCACCCTGTGGTTGTCCAGACTCTCTGCTTGTAAATTATTCATAGTGGTGACCTTCCTCTGTGTTTTTAATGTCGATTATACCATCTTAGATGATCTCCAGACCATCTTCCGGACCATCTCTCGTGGTCTGGACACAGCGTGACAGTTTATGTCCAGATTTAAGTGGGTGATTTGGTCCTTAGTGAGGGTGATTCCGCTGAGATTGCCGAAGATCTCTCGGAGTCAGGGAACAGCAGTGGAACCACCAGAAAAACAGCTTTACCGAAGATTATATATATATATATATACACACACATATATATATATATATATATATATATATATATATATATATATATATATATATATATATATATACACCTTTCTATTGGAAATCCCATTTGAGCTTTAAATATATGATGATTGTAGGGATAATCCATCCTCACAGATGGTATACTGTATAGGGCTCTATAGGGCACAGATGGTATACTGTATAGGGCACAGATGGTATACTTTATAGGGCACAGATTGTATACTGTATAGGGCATAGATGGTATACTTTATAGGTCACAGATTGTATACTGTATAGGGCACAGATTGTATTCTGTATAGGGTACAGATCGTATTCTGTATAGGGCACAGATGGAATACTGCAGTCCTGGGAATCTTGCATAACGTAATACGTGTTCTTTGAACTATTAGGACACATCCAGACTCCCATTGCCCTCCAGCCCCCGAACTCCTAAGATCTAACAAAGGGTTTTATCTAGCGTTCAGGATAACACATAAAATACCGAAAATAGGTTTCTCCTCCTGAAGAAGCCTCGTCACTCACATGTCAACAATTCATCAGGTACGCTGCGCCGGGAGCCCAGGCAGTGACATCGAAGATGAGGATCTCCTGGGGCACCTACCTGGCCTCCAAGAAAGACATCATATATGCCATGATTGATGGCCGTGGGTCGGGTTTCCAAGGAGACAAGATCAAACATGAGGTGAGGCTCTTTTTTCCCTGGGTAGAGTGCCTTCATGCCCGACCAGGTCCTCTTACCTATTACATTTTAATGGATTAGTCTACATATCCTTTAAATATTCGGCGTATTAGTCAAAATTTAAAGCACTGTAATATTAACTTTTATTTATTCATTGGCCTCGTTAGGTGAGATGGGTTGCTTGAGTTTATACGTACTCGATTAGGTAACTGTTATGGTCAGAGTGGTCATGGGTAGTGAAACATAATTCGTTGTGTCGGGGGAAATCTTGACGCTGTTAGGAAGGGAGTTACATATTTGAGGTCCATTTATTCACATGGCATAAATGTGTAAATTCGTGTGTTTTCTGTTTTGTGAAAATGAGCTAAAGTTCGATTAAATATCTATTGTTTTCGTAACTTTTGCTTTATAATATAAATACCAATCGCATATGCGTGTAATCCTTTGTAAATCACAATGTGTTTTGTGTATTCCCTCCCTCCCCCCTGCCTGTGTGTGGGAAGGTATACCGAGCCCTCGGGGGGAAGGAGGTGGACGACCAGGTGGCGGTGGCCAGGTACCTACGGGACAATCTACACTTCGTGGATGAACGCAGGATTGCCATCTGGGGCTGGAGCTACGGCGGCTATGTCACCACCATGGCCCTGGCTCGCGATGCTGACCAGGTCTTCAGCTGTGGCATCGCAGTTGCTCCAGTTGCTCGCTGGGAACACTATGGTAAGCAGCATGTCTTTCTTAAAACGTTGAGGCGCTAATGTGGTCCATTGTTCACCAACGCTGAACACTATCTTAGGGTCTGAACAGTTACCCAGATACTGAATAGTTACAGATAATTCATTGTCATTTTTAACACTCATGTTCTGAACATCATTTCAAGTGTCAATATTCTTTCACTTAATAACTTTGAGAAACTGAACCTCACTAAACATTAAGGATCCTCCTAGATACGCAATATGCTCTAGATAATGAAAGGAAATTGATCCCAACACTTTGCTAACTTTACTAGAGATATGGCTTTTAAGACCAATTTTGGTTACACATAAATGTTTTATCCAGCACACTTCAGAGTATAATAATAATAATAATAATAATAATAATAATTATAATACACAGAGAGTAATGACACTAACGTGATGTGTCAATGAGAAAATCATTGGGAACACCCAATGTGGGTGTGTCAGGGAACATCCTTAAGCCCTCTGCGTAGGTTCGAACCCTCATCGCGGCTCCTACGGATTTTCTCAATAATTATAATGATAATTTTAAACAATTTACAGTAGTTATGTACAGACTTATCGTGAAATATTACTCGTATAGTGTTGGGATGGGTGATAAGTGAACCTGGCGTCTCTTTAACTACCCGACATCTCAACTAATACATCTTATTTTGTACGTTATGGTCATCAACGTACAAATTACAAAGTACTATGAAAAGTAGCGGCTCACAAATATTCACGTTTTCGATGCTAAGGCGGCGGCTGCCCACTCTTGTCCTATATCCAACATAGGCATTCCTTATTGAGCCCTTGTCATTCATTCCTCAATCACAGACCGCTGGCAGAGTCGCTGGCCTGAGGTTACAGGTCGTTACAACTGTACACTCTCAAAAGTAACGTCTTCCCTTGTAACATTTGTATCCCAAGAATATATGAACTTCTGGACTGCCTTGTACACTTTATTGAAAGATAACGTCTAGTTCTCAAGATTGTTTTTTTTCCATATTTAAACATTACCTAACATTCACAAAAAAAACATCTACAAATAGGGGGTTTTCAATCCGTACACACACACATAATCTCTCTAAATTATTCCCATTCCAAATTCTTATCCTGACCCCTTCCCAGTGCTATATAGTCGTAATGGCGTGGCGCTTTCCCCCTGATAATTCCCTTCCCTCTCTAAATTATTAAAGTATTCAAATAATATTTAATTCATGATCCAGTCTTCATAATGTAGTGTATATTATTTCACCCTAAAAAATGACTGGAACCGAAGATGTACCACTCATAAGTGTTCGTGTAACGTCAACACTGTACTGTGTGTATATTCCTCAGATTCTGTGTACACAGAGAGGTACATGGGCTCCCCTCACGTGTACCCTGGCAGCAACTACAAGGGCTACGAGGCTGCCGATGCCACCAAGGTGGCTGGCAACCTCAAGGAGAAGATGTTCCTGCTTATCCACGGCACGGCAGATGACAACGTTCATTACCAACACTCCATGATGTTGGCCAAGGCTCTTGTGGACGAGGGAGTCCTTTTCCAGCAGATGGTAGGCTACTAACCTCCAGAATTCTCAATTATATATATATATTTCAATAAATTAACAATATTTTTATCTGACATAACAAGCTGTGTATTTTTATTGAGTTGCATTCATGATTTAACTTAAGTCTCCGGTCACCATCACCACCATCCTTTACCGCACAGACGTACGCCGACGAGAACCATGGTCTCACCGGTGTGAAGGCGCACCTCTACCGCACTATGAACAAGTTCCTCTCAGACTGCTATCGTCCCTCCATCAAGGAGCTCTATTTCCTCATCAAAAAAAAGAAAACGGAAATTGAAGAGATTGGTTACCTTTAAATACGGTGGCGTCAGAGGGGGGTAATAGAAGTTTATTAGGTCCTTAAGTCCTTAATAGAGGTTCTTAGGTCCTCAATAGAGGTTCTTAGGTCCTTAATAGAGGTTCTTAGGTCCTCAATAGAGGTTCTTAAGTCCTTAATAGAGGTTCTTAGGTCCTCAATAGAGGTTCTTAGGTCCTCAATAGAGGTTCTTAGGTCCTCAATAGAGGTTCTTAGGTCCTCAATAGAGGTTCTTAGGTCCTCAATAGAGGTTCTTAGGTCCTCAATAGAGGTTCTTAGGTTCTTAAGTTTATGCCAGGTGAACGACATGCCATGCCAGAGTGTCTTCTGCGGTGTGTGTGTGTGTGTGTTGAGATCTCTCACTACAGTGTCCTCGTCAGATACATGAGGACAGCATTGGTTGATATGATAACACGTAGAGATAGATGATAGCCAACTTTTAATATTTAAAAGTTGGAAACCTCAAAATTTATTTTAAATATGTGGAAAATGGGATTTTCAGTTCAAATAACCTCAGTTCTTTGTTGGTTGATTATTTGAGATAGGTTATCCTGGAATTGAAGTACAATTGATGAGAGAGAACGCCTCTACTATAATGCTGAACTCTTCAGAACACTGCACTGGTTGCAGATGATAATATTTGACTAGTAATTAGGCTTTCATTAACGAGTGATAATACTGAGGACTAGCCGGTAATAATTATAATCTAAAACTATTTTAATGTTTAATTTTGTACATAAATATACTGTATATATTTATATGTATAAATTTTACTGATATTGTTGAAACGTCAATAATTCCCTTTTTAAAATTACTAATAGGCGTAAGTAATTATTTTCTCATGGTCCAGCAGTAGACATTAAATCATATATTAGTTAGGTAATATTTCATTCATGTAAGAAACACCACAAAGATGGTGACGTCTACTTAAGAGTTACTTAAGAGTTTTCAATAACATTTCGGTTTCAGTCTTTACCTTCTAATATAAATAATTTTCTGATAGATATATAACCCCGGCAGGCAAAACATGATCGAGTAAAGGCTAATCAAACTTTTAAAACCCCGTAAGATCAATTTCGGATCAATATTCGATGAATCGTTAATCAACTTTGGATCAACGGTTAATGTTTGATCAACGTTGAATCAATGTTGAATAAACTTTTATAATGTGTTGGGTCAACATTTAAATCAACATCCTTTATCTAGGTTTGCCCGTGGGGAGATGTGTGGTTTCACTTATGAGCACAAAATGGGTCCATTATCACCCTTCCATAGAAACCCATTCACCAGACAAAATAAAATAGTTGGCCACTTCCATGGCTCACGCAAAACCACTTTTATTAATAAAACTTTTGTATTTTTTAGGATTTATTCCATTTGTTATAGGTAGGCTGCATCAGTTTTCTGTCCTAGATTGACAAAAATGTAGTTCTTAAAAAAACTTAACTGCAAATTCAAAATACATTAAAAGTATATACAGAGTGCATTTTCTTTTGGGGGGAAGCTTCACTTAAATTACCTTCATGTAAAAACTTTGGATTTCACTGCCTGAAGTAGGAAATTATATAACAAAAATACTTTTCCTTAACAGGATCTTCAAATGTTTGTTAAATATATAATTTCATGTATGGCATTTCCTCAAGTGATGTGGTTTTACTCTAATATAACATTGCACTCATTAACACTTCTTAAATCCACAGTGTTGATACAAATATGTTTAGAAGGTGTGGTCGAACGCACTCTGCCTCAGGAAGGGTAAAAGTTGTCACATGACTTTCGGTGAGAACTTAAAAAGAGTTGTATATGTTCATTTAAATACGCATTATGTTTGCCTTCAGGGAAATTAATTTTTTGTGTGTACTGCAAATCACTCTAGAATAGTTATCAGTTCATTTGATAGGCTTTCAGTAATTTGAGCTGTTTGTATATGAAGGATTGTATGCTGACTGGTTCTATATGCAGATCGGTTCTGTAGGCTGAATGGTTCTGTATGCTGACTGGTTCTGTATGCCGACTGGTTCTGTTTGCTGACTGGTTCCATATGCAGATCCAACCACCTAGGCTGGACGTAGAGCGACGGTCTCGCTTCGTGCAGGTCGACGTTCAATCTCGAATCGTCCAAGTGGTTGAGCACTCACACCTTTCCTCCCATCCCATCCCAAATTCTTATCCCGACCCCTTCCAAGTGCTACATAGTCGTAATAACATGGCTATTCCTGATAATACCTCCTGATGATGATACCTCCTGATAATTCCCTTCTCTATACTGATTGGTTCTGTATACTGTCAGGTCCGGCACAGTTAAATTTACATATACTCTTAAACACATTTCTGTTAGTATTGTTTATCGAATACTTGCAATATGTGTTTATTAGAGCTTAGGTAACTAATTGTCATAACTGAGAAAGAAACTGCACAGCATTTATCATTCATATGACAAAGAGATCATATACATTGTGCTATATCAATTCAAACTCGTAAGTAATCTCCATGCAAAATAGATAGATCATTAAGTGGGATTTAAGGCCGGTTACTTAATCCCCCATCATAAGTATGTTGTATAATACTACTATCATAACTTAGTTTTATTGTTTCCAGTCAATTCAGTCATTAAATTAAATATTAGACAGTTTCACCTGTGATCATTATATAGATTACAGTTTTTTTATATAATCACTAGGATTTCAGGAAGGAGTTTGAACTAGGTACAGTGGGTACATATCATTTAGACCTTGACTGCATGGTCTGAAAAAACCTTTAAGCCAGGATATCTAACCCATGTTTACCTGCCATCCTCCTTACTTTCCCCATGCCCACATACCTCCCACCCCCCCCATGCCCTCATACCTCCCCCCCATGCCCACATACCTCCTCCCCCATGCCCACATACCTCCTCCCCCCATGCCCACATCCCACCTTCCCCATGCCCTCATACCACCTCCCCCATGTCCTTATACCACCTCACCCATGCCCATATACCTCCCCACCCATGCCCACATACCTCCCCACCCATGCCCACATACCTCCCCCCCTATGCCCACATACCTCTCCCCCCATGCCCACATACCTCCCCCCCATGCCCACATACCTCCCCCCCCACCATGCCCACATACCTCACCCCCCCATGCCCACATATCCTTCCCCATGCCCACAATTTTCCCCCCATGCCCACATACCCCCCTATGCCCACATACCCCCACCCATGCCCACATACCCCCCATGCCCACTCTTCACTATGCAATGTGCCATGGCTGTGGATGTCATCCACATGCACCTCAAGGCCTCTTATGTTATCCTTGTATCTCATACAAAGTTAGAGTTGGTGTATCGGTCTGAGGGAGATTCCTCGGAGCCTCCTTGAGACTTACCTAGCAAGATGATATCAAACCTTTTATTCTGATAATATTGTGTATTTTGTTATCGTGTCGAGTTATATGACCACAGCACATGTTAACTGTTAAACCTTATTAAAAAGATAATAGATAACAAAATATATTAGATATATATTATATATATATATATATATATATATATATATATATATATATATATATATATACCTTCGCCTCCTAGAGGCCTTGCCAGAAACAAGCATATTTATACATATATAATGTGTGTGAAGTATATGATATATTTTTTGGTTTAGTGGTGTTAAATTTGAAATATAATATACATTCCTCAGTGTCAGATGTACTATTGATTTGATTTTCTGTTTTTTCGTATGAATTATTTTTTTTAACTATGTAAAAATGTCCTTGATTAAACAATTGCATCATTTTTTTAAGAGCTAAAAATTTGTATGCATGCCTTAAGTAGTGATTAAGAAGTGCCAACTGTGGAGTAGGCACGTCTTGTTCCTTATAATTGTTCAGGTTGTTCATTGAGGAAGTGCATGACTGGGCCACCCAGCTCACAGATTTCTCATAAGAGGGCTCTTAAGAGCTGCTCGTAATAGATCATGTGACCTGGGTGGCTGCATGGTGAGCCCAGTGATGATCATGCAACAACAACAACATCATCATTTATCACCATCATCATCATCACTTTATGAGTAAAGGACCAACTATGATCAATACATTCACGTGAACAAGTCTACATATCAGTGCATGAACATGTGTATATATATAGCCCTTTCTTCTTCTTCTTCTTCTTCTTCTTCTTCTTCTTCTTCTTCTTCTTCTTCTTCTTCTCTTCTTCTTCTTCTTCTTCTTCTTCTTCTTCTTCTTCTTCTTCTTCTTCTTCTTCTTCCCCTTCTTTCTCCTCTTCATCTTCAACCTCTTCTGCTTCTTCTTTCACCTCTTTCTCTTTTTTTCCGCCTCTTCCTCCTCTTTCTCTTCTTCTACTTCCACTTCTTCATTTTCTTACTTATCTTCCTTTTCTGCGTTTTTCTTCTCCCGAGGACTGCACCCTCTGACTCTAATTTATTTGTAAAATATTTATCATTTAAAATTTCTTCGACAATCATATCATTAGTATGACAGCTGTAACATTATAGGATTATCGGAAGTACACATTACTCGGTATATATAAAACGCTGAATTAATGATTATATATATATATATATATATATATATATATATATATATATATATATATATATATATATATATATATATATATATATATATATATATATATATATATTCTTCGCCTCCTAGAGGCCATGCCAGAAACAACCATATATTCACCAGGACCAAAACAGAAAGAGAAAACCAAATGACAATTACATAAAAATTCATTAAAACGTAATTTAATAATTAGAAACAACCGCTTGCTCTATGGTGTCTAAAATAATGTGAATTATACACCTAATTATACACCAATAGTGGTGTATAAACTATTGTAAAAATGCATAAGGCAAAGATATACATAATTTCTGAATATAGGACCGAGACTTCGTATTTAACTAGAAGATTACCTGGCGGAGATCGGAGCCCACTATTACATTACCTTCACCTGGGCACTAGGAGACTAGAACCGCCGACCCCGTCCCCACGAGCGTGAGGCCAAGGCTCAATCAAACACATTACGGGACAGGTTTAAATAGGAAAGATTCCAGCCTTAAAACTTTGCTATTTAAGGTTGCCTCATAGTATGGTTGGTAGAGCTTGGGCCTATATACAGTATATATAATGTATATTATGTATACAATATATTTATATGTATTGTGTCTTTATAACAGAGAATGTCTGTTCGAGATTCGAGGACCAGATGCTTGGAGCTAGCCTCGTTAAACTTTGCAGGGTGATGGGTTGTTGTTTGGGGATGGTCATGGCCGGGTCGGGGGTCGACCCACTTGTATGAATTGTTGTTGTTGTTTACGATTCGCTACTTGGAACAAAAAGTTCCAAGTAGCACGGGCTATGGTGAGCCCGTAGTGGACTATTGTATGAAATAGTAATTTATACTAATTTCTAAACTCGCTAAATACTTGACTGCATGCTCAGATTAAATAATCAAACATATTGTTCTTTCTGTAATGATTAAGATTAAATGTTGATTTATGTTACGTAGTTTAATTATTAATAATGAGTGTAGTGAAGATGGTTATAGTGATGAAGGGAATATGGTGAAGAATAGAGACAGCAGTGAAGGGTAGGGAAGGTGGTGAAGGAAAAGGAAGGAGGTAAATGGAAGGTAAGGTACTGAATGGAAGGGAAGGTGGTGAAGGGTAAGGGGAAAAGCGCCATGCCATTACGACTATATAGCACTTGGAAGGGATCAGGCTAAGGAATTGGGATGGGATGGGGGGGGGGAAAGAATGATACCCAACCACTTGGACGGTCGGGGATTGAACACCGACCTGCATGAAGTGAGACCGTCCAGTCCCAGTGGTTGGGAAGAAAGATGTTGAAGAGAGAGATGGAGGAATGTAGTAATAATGATGGTTGTAGAGGGGGGTGGGGTTACCCTGCACTGCACAGGATGTGAAGATAGTCAGAGTGATAATACAGGGGGGGGGTAGTGAAGGTGGTTACAATCATGCGGATGGTCGTGTGTAGAGTAGATGGTCACAATTTTGACCATACAGCCAAACATAGGGTGGTCGGGCGGAGCCTCAAGTCCCCCTTTGCTAATGGCAGGTTACACCTTATTTCCAGTCTCACACAAAAAAAAATCCATCATTAAGATTCATCTAGCAGATTAAATGTTAGGATGGAAGGGTCCCTTGGTTATTACACTAAGGGTCCCCCCTGGTTACTACATCAAGGGTCCCCCTGTACTAACCATTGACTCTCCTGTTTGACAGGAATTTGAGCAGTGTGAGAAAAGTTCCTCGTGCCCCTGTTCAAAGATGTTCACGCTGTCACGACATGCTTAGTACAAAAATTATTAAGGGATTTCAGGATATTATTTTTGCATATATTCAAAACTGTGAACTATGTTACTCAGATATTAGGAATCAAATAAACACATGTGCAGTTTTTTAATACATTTTTGATCGCGTTTCTCGTGGGTTTAGTTTGCTAGGTTTTCAGTCTGGATATTGTCCTATACTGGGAAGTGTTATCACTTTTTATCCTATTCACCAGTTTTTGCTCATTTTTATATTATTTAATGTTAAAGTTTATGTTATGTTTGTTCAGATTTTTTATATACATATATGTCTTCTGTGCTCACCTTTGTCTTCAAAATGAATCCACAATGACCAACCTTCAAGATTTGTGGAACTGATTTAAGTTACATTTTTAATCTGTGTTCATGTCTTCATCCTATTCCTTGGAATATCAAATGTCAAATACTTATTTTAATGTGATCAAAAAGTACCATATATTTAATTTCTCAGAGAGCAAGCTTCAGGTAAATGCCTACCTTAGCAACGTATATGCTGCTGGTATACCAGTCATTCTCAAAGCTTATCCAGGTGAGGTTGTGACCTAGTTACAGCCTACTTTGGGTGAGGTTGTGACCTAGTTACAGCCTACTTTGGGTGAGGTTGTGACCTAGTTACAGCCTACTTTGGGTGAGGTTGTGACCTAGTTACAGTCTACTTTGGGTGAGGTTGTGACCTAGTTACAGCCTACTTTGGGTGAGGTTGTGACCTAGTTACAGCATACTTTGGCTGAGGTTGTGACCTAGTAACAGTCTACTTTGGGTGTGACGACTACAGACATGAATTTTTTAATATTTAAATGTTTAGCTAAGAATTCAAGAAGAGTTTAATGTTAAAAAATTTCAATATTTATGCATATGTAATTCAGTATTTTTATGCACCAAAAATTGGCATTGTGATTAGCTATATTGTATTCTGTATAATTGCTAATTATTAGTAGCGTGATTGTATTTGTGAGAATATTTGTATGCTGTTTAATAGTTATAATTTTTGTAAAAATATTAATAGGTGCGCTTACTTAACATATTCCTTTTTTCGTAAATGTATAAAAATAACTTTTATTTAATATAAGTTTATTGTGTTCCATATGTGGCAATCATTTTGAAAATTACTTCACAAATTTCAGTAGTTGTCCTAATCAGTGTTAAGTATAAATGTAAAATACTTCTCGCCCATCTGCTATACATTCGAATACTCTTGACTGTAAACTAAAGGGATTCTGGAACCATTTGTCATGCTTTCGTTCTATATAATGATAATTCTTGGTTGAAATGCATAACACTGTGTGTGTGTTCGTATCATCATATCAAATTATTAGATTTGATTAGATTTTTGGAGCCATCACTTCGAGCAGTAGAAGAAATGTAGCTACTGACCATCATGACGTCTTGTAGTTCAACTCGTTTTGCTACGATATATGAAGCTACATGTTCAAGACATAATTAACTTATCATGTTTTGATTAGTCAATGCTTCAAACATTAGTCAGTAATGCTTTAACACCCAATGAGGTGTTGTTGAAGCATTTTTGACGACTTGGATATCGGTCAGCATATACCCTATCTCCTTCTCGTACGACTTGAGAATGGTCCAGGACAGACAGAAACGTGGTCGTCCCTTCATTTTCTAGTGTGTGGATTGGTCAACATACTTCAGCCACGTTATTGTGACTGATCG